TATATATATACTTGGGAAAGATCCAATGAGTCCACTCCTTAAAATGAGTCCACTCCTTAAAATATATATTAATTAAATAATAAAATAATTATTAGTTGACTCAGGCGTTGACCGTTGACTTTCGCCGAAAATTGTTGACTTTTGGCGTTGTCCGTTGACTTTCGACGTTGACCGTTGACTTCCGACGTTGACATGTTGCCCTTAGTTTGCAATATGTATGAAGTAAATACGCATCCAGTGATTTTTTTTTGTTACCCCTTCAACTGTGGATTCGGCGAAACCTGATTACGGCGAATGTGGCTTCGGTCCATGACTGGGGCAGCTTATTCGCGTTTACCGCGTGGAGCTCTTGGCGATGGAGGAATGACCGTACCTTTAATAACCGGACTTTGAGCTGCGAGAACAGAAGGAAGCAGGTCCTAAGCCTCTTGGAATCGCATGGCCGTGCGTGTACCGCCTATCGGCGTGTTGGGGCTACCATGTATGAGGTGCGAGCTATTCATTGGTCTTTTCCCGAGCCTGGATGGATCAAGGTTAACACTGACGGGTCTTATGATGGCACTTCGGGCCTAAGCGGGGCTGGAGGTCTACTTCGGGACGAGCTTGGGAGGTGGATCGAGGGCTTCCTTATGAATATCGGGTTTAACACCATCACGGGAGACGAACTTTGGGGACTTTTCCAGGGCTTACAGGCGGCATGGGAGCTAAGCTTTCATAAAGTTATCGCGGAAATTGATAGTCAATGCGTGGTTCTAATGGTCACTGGGTCCGACAAGCATTTTGGTGATCACGATTCTATCGTTAGAGCTATCAAGGAATTGGTTCAGCGGGAGTGGTGTGTTAGAATCCAACATGTGCATAGAGAGAGACCAACTTTGCAGCAGATTATATGGCGGGGCTCGCTTCCTCTTCCCCTTTGGGTTTGAGCAAGGTTTTGTCTCCTCCACCGGGTCTCAGAGCTTGGCTCGATCATGATGTTCGAGGAGTATCTCATCCACGTACAGTACTAGCTTAGCATGGTTAGGCCTACGGCCTCCTTCTTTGTACCGAAAAAAAAATATATGCATCCAGTACCATGCATTCAATATGAACTAAATATGCATGAGATATGAATTGCACATGCAATCCTTATGAACTAAATATGCACCAATAATATCTACTAAGTATGCACATGTTATTAACTAAATATGCATCTGTTATTAACTAAATATGCATCATGAATGAACTAAATATGCAGCGAAAAATATGCAATAAAAATGTACATTTTATATAGGTAATTTATGATGCATATTTAGTTAATTTATTATGAATATTTAGGTAATTTATGATGCATATTTAGTTAATACAAAATGCATACTTGTTATATTTAAATTAAATATATAAGGCTTAATTGCTTATAAATGCATGACCTTTTCGAAAATTGCAATTTTATGCACCACTTTTA